ACTATGCCAGATTGAAGGAGACTGGAGAGACATGGCAATAGGTGATCCCACATTGGATCTTATTGCTATAAACGATATGTCAGGACAGTGGCAAAACTTCAATCTGGTCTTTGAAGCGTATATTGCAGTTTTTGCAATGTTCCTGAATCTTTCCTGTAAATTTGCAATTATTTTAAAATAAAAAACTTAAAATACAAAAAAAAAGAATTAACTTTGAATCAAAGAGTTCAAGAACAGAAAGTGGAGGTTGCTATGATGGTGAGCTCAATGTTGTTATCTCAGTGATACTTAGAGGTTTTTTACAAGGAAATCTTATAAGGAACATACTATCAATCCACTTGTATGCCCTTTTCACTTGTATTTGAATATATTAGCCTTCATATTTGGAAGAACCCTATATATGGTAAGATATTTGGTCCTAGGCCATGGTTTCTGCTATCCTTACAAATATTTTAATCAAAATATTATTCCTAGCTTCTGAGATTCAGAAATGTCACTGTTGATGTGATTTCAGTGTTGATGAAGTAACTTGCTAATAGTATCTTGTCAAGAGATTCATCATCAACAGATGATGTAGATTCATCTTCAAGAATTAAACATAGCCCTAACCAGTTTGGCTCAGTGGATAGAGCGTCGGCCTGCGGACTGAAGGGTCCCAGGTTCAATTCTGGTCAAGGGCATGTACCTTGGTTGTGGGCACATTCCCAGTGGGGAGTGCACAGGAGGCAGCTGATCAATGTTTCTAACTATCCCTCTCCCTTCCTCTCTGTAAAAATCAATAAAATATATTTTTAAAAAAGAATTAAACATAGCTTACTCTTGTACTTCAATAGAGTACTGAGGTTGGAAGAGATAGCTGGTTCATTACTTTCAACCAAAAAAAAAAAAAATGTGGTCATTAATCTCCACCAATGATGGAGCCAGATTTAAACTTTGATCAACAATTGGATCTTCTCAAATTTTAAAAACTTACAAAAACATTAATAACCACAGCATAATCCCAGGTAGTGGTAGTTGCTTGGCTGATTAAATATTAATCTCCTTTTATATTGAAAGGCGTTATGATAAAAAGGCATCAGAATCTCTTGATTTTGAATTTAGCTCTGTGAACTTATTAACCTTTCTGAATTGATAAAATGATATAATCACATCTTACTGACTTGTGTTATGTGAATTAATTGAGATTAAGTGTTGAAAGTATCTGGCATATATTTTCTGGAATGTAGTAGATCATCAAGAAGTCCTAAGTATCAATTTTTAAAGCTCCTTTATTCCTAGAAGCAATTCTACTTAAAAATATTTTGGCTTACAGGTAATAAATGTAAATATATTCATTTGTATTTACAGATAGCAAATGTATAGTAAATGTAGAGGAAATAATGTATACTAATTTCTATAGTAATTCATATTTTTCAAATAATTTCCACATCTATTAAGTAGTGTTCAGCTTGATTCTTAAAGGCAATTCTTTTCTCATTTATATATAAGAAAATTGAGATTTACCGGTTCAGAAGATAGTAGAAGAAACCAATGTTTCAGCTTAGTCTTTCAGTGTGTAAGCATTAAACTTTTTATTATCCAGTATTTCTTAACCTTTTAAAACCCTTGAGCCCTCTAAATAAACAAAAATAACCTCATACAATTTTTTAACATTAAAAGGAATTTCTAATTAGGTTAAATGGTGACACAAGAACATTATTTTTATCTTCCAAGGTTCACACTTTAAATATTTGTGAGTTTTTCCTAGGCAGTGAGAGCACAAAGCCAGTCACTTCTAACACGAGCCATATTGCTCTGCTTTGTTTTCCTTACTGTACATACAGTAAAACCAGAATCACAAATATATGTTGATAAAATTGGTTTATAGCATGGAGAGTGCTATACACTTATACATACTATTTCAAGCTAACCTCTCTAAGAAATGTTCAAGGCTCTCATTACTTCCCTCTAATCCCCCATTTCTTCACCACCCTTCCTCCCAATGTGTTGGCCTTGGGTTCCCACCTTGACAACCTCTGCATCATGAGGCAGTCTGGCACACTGGTTAAGAGTAGGACTCTGGAACTAGAGTACTTGCACCCTCCACTTACTAGCTGCCTGACCTTGAGGCAAGCTACTAAGCTTCTTTGTGCCTCATCTATGAAATGGAGACAAAAACAGTACCTAAGTCATGAAAATGTTTTGAAAATTAAATGGGTTCATGCATGTAAAGCACTTAGAAAAGTGCGTGGCACATTGAAGTCCTATATCAGTATTATGTTATTACTGTTTTTACTATTAGCATTATTATCATCACCCATTCAATTACCATAGTGGCTTACAGCAATATAACAACATGATAATGTCAAAAGTCTTGAGAATCAAATTAGATGAGTATCTGTCATTAGGTCTTCTTCAGTCTGTATCTCTTAATTCTGTATCTTATAAAATAATTCAGAATCTCTCCTATTAACCTTTCTTAGCTACTTCTTTGAAAATATTGTTTTGTTTGTTTTGCAAGACCCTTACTTATTCTTCTTACAGAAAACTTCCATATGATAAGATAGACCCAGCAGTGTTTCTCAGAGATCTTTCTCCTACCTACTCTTCACAAATGTGCTTTGGTGATTCTCAAGTCAAGTCTACCCATCACCTCAAAGTGTAGACTGCAGAAACAACAGCAGCAATGGGGCAGGATCTCCCTTCCCCTTAGGGCAGTGGTTCTCAACCTTCCTAATGCCGCAACCCTTTAATACAGTTCCTTATGTTGTGGTGACCCCCAACCATAAAATTATTTTCGTTGCTACTTCATAACTGTAATTTTGCTACTGTTATGAATCATAATGTAAATATCTGATATGCAGGATGTATTTTCATTGTTACAAATTGAACATAATTAAAGCATAGTGATTAATCACAAAAACAATATGTAATTATATATGTGTTTTCCGATGGTCTTAGGCGACCCCTGTGAAAGGGTCGTTTGACCCCCAAAGGGGTCGTGACCCACAGGTTGAGAACCGCTGAGGCATACTGAATCTCCAGGAGGAGAGAATATGTGCAGTGAATGCGCGCGCGCACACACACCCACACACACCCACACACACCCACACACACCCACACACCAAGATTCTGAAATGCTCTCCAAAAGGAGATGAGCCTCTTTATGAGAACACTGGCCTGGTTTGAAATGATCGAATTTAAACTCAGTGGATAGTGTCTGCTATGCACTACACAACTAACCACTTGACATCATTTTCTTCTCACAACAGCCTTGTGAGGTCGGTATTACTATTCCTCCTTTAATGAGGAGAAAACTGAAGTTAAGCAATTTGTTACATTACTGACTCTGATCTAGATCTTTTAACTTCAATTCACTTATTCCAGGTCTTTTTCTACCATAACAGAATTGCCTCTGAACGAAATAATACACTTTTCACCATTTTGGGTTAAAAGGTAAAACTTTAAGAAAGGATTGAAATCTATCTACTCTTGCTTCTTCCCTCCACATGCCAGTATCCTGCCATTTTGGGAGGTTAGTACCAGGGAATAAGGAATTAGGCTGCTTGGGTTTGCAGTGCTTGGTGAATTTGGGTGTCTTTGTTCTATTAATCACTTTTCACTCTCAGCCAAGAGCAGGTGGAACAAGGCTGTCATTTTAACAAGTTAGTGTAAATGAAACAAAACAAAAAAGCCCAAGCAACCTGATAGTTCAGGAGGGCTATGGTTTGAGCCCGGATTTTCCAATTGAACCCTTTTTCGGTTTAATGCTAAAGTAGACTTGTCCTTTTCCTAAGAATGCCATTAATACCCTTTACTCACAAAAAGCTTCTATCATTTTGGAAAGAGCATGGGCTGCAGAAGATTTAGGTTTGAATTCTGGCTCTGTCACTTATTAGCTATAGTGTTGGGTATATTATTTAGTCTTTATTTTAGTAATCTCATCTGTAAAATGTCCTACTTCATAGGACAGTTGACATTTTTCTCACTTTTGAAAAAAATCATCCTGCCTTATTGATGCATAAATTACATACAATGAAATTTATTTGAAGTGTTTGATGAATCCTGGAAATTGTATATAGTAATATACAACTTTTTAGCTGTGAAAAGTTTCCCTGTGTCCCCTTTAAAGTCATATTCCCCCGTGACATTCTGGGTCCATTTCACTGATCTGCTTTCTGTCACTATAATTTAGCCTTTTCTAGAAATTCAAATGGAATCATATAGTATATTCTCTTTTATGTCCAGTTTCTTTCATTTAGCATTATTATTTTGTTGTTGACTCTCACCCGAGGATATTTTTTCATTGAGTTTTAGAGAGAGTGGAAGGGAGAGGGAGAGACAGAGAGAGAAAAACATCGATGTGAGGACAACACATCTCCTGCATGTACTTGGGGGGGTGAGCCTGAAGCCAAGGTACCTGCCCTTAACCAGAATCTAACCTGGGACCCTTCAGTCCTCAGGCTGATGCTCTATCCACTGAGCCAAACCAGCTAGGGCATCATTTAACATGATTTGTAAAAATTCTTTCATGTTACTGGGTCTATCAATATTTTGTTTCTTTATATTACTAGATGGTATTCCACACAATGGACATACCATGATTTGTTATCCATCCTCCAGTTAATAGACATTGTATTGATTTCAATTACTGTTAGCTATTATGAATAATGTTTCAAGTCCTTTTGACACATGTTTTCATTGTGTGTGTATCTATGAGTAAGTTGATTGCTGGGCTGTATGGCAGTTGTATGCTTAACTTTATAAGAAAGTGACTGTGTCATTTTTTATTACCACCAGCGATGTATGAGAGTTCCAGTTGCTCTGCATCCTTGCCAATACATGGTATTGTCAATCTTTAAAATTTTAACTGTTCTGGTGGGTTTTAGGGGTATCTCATTGTGGTTTTCATATTCATTTGTCTGCTGATTGGTGGTGTTGAGAATCCTCTCATGTACTTACTGACCATATATATTTCTCTGTGTGTGAATTATCTATTCAAATTGTTAGCACCCTTTTAAGAACTAATGTATCTCATTTATTGAATTGTAAGTCTTTTTTAATATTCTGGGTAGAAGGTTCTTTGTTTAATTTTGCAAATATTTTCTCTCAGTTCATGGCTTGCCTTTTTGTCTGTTTAATTGTGTCTTTCAAAAGACCAAAGATTATAATTTTGGTGACATTTTATCATTCTTTTCTTTTCTGGTTCATGTTTTTGTGCTTTGTTTTAAAAATATTGGCCTAACACAATATTATAAAGATTTTTCTTCTATCTTCTAGAAATTTTCTAATTTTAGATCATATGTTTATATGGTAATTCATTTTTAATTAAATTTTGTGTTTGGTATCACATAAGGTTTAGGTTTAGGTCAGATAGAGGTACCCCATACTGATAACCATTTCTAGCAAAATCTGCTTAAAATACTATTATTTCCCCCACTGAATTACCTTGGCATCATTGTGAAAATCGATGGGCAAACCTTTGGAGCTGAGATATCCCTCTGGAATATCAGCCAGCAGCCGTGAGAGTGGGGTCAGCCCTTTTTGCATCTCTGCTCTTCTTACCAGTCTTGATGTAGCTTCTTCTGTAAATCCTTGGTTATAAGGCTTCTATTCAGCTAGTCTTCAGTTGGTTATTCAAGTAATTCCAGTTTGGTCTTAGAAGGAGATGAGTATAACATCCACCTAGTCTGCTGCCATCTTAGATCTTTCTATGGTAAGTCTTGATATCTTACTATAGTTGTCCAATTTTGTTGTTCCTTTTCAAAATTGTTTTGCCTAAATTTTTCATATAAATTTTAGAATTAGTTTGACATATTTAAAATATTCTTCTGGAATTATGATTAGGATTTTGTTGGATTTATAGAATAATTTGGGGGATAATTACGATCTTAATAATGGGTCTTCATTACATGAATGTGGCATATTTTTCCATTTCTTTAAGGTATTTAAAAAGTCTCTCTTTGTATTGTTTTATAGCAATCAGTATTCTTTGGTTAAATTCTTCTAAGTATGCTATTTTTATGCTGATGGTCAATGGCATTTTTTAAATTTTAATTTTTCTAGTTGTTTATTCTGGTATACAGAAAGACAATTGATTTTTGTTATTGACCTTGTATGTTGTGACTTTGCTTAATTTACTTATTCATTCTGGCAGTTTTCTTTTTTTCTAAGATCCTTATGATATATGGTTATGATCATGTTTTCTGCAGCTAAAAACTATCTCTCTACTTTCTTTCCAAATTGTATGCATTTTCTTTCCTTTCCTTTGCTTTTGCACTGGCTAAGAAATCCAGTACAATATTGAATAGAAGTGGAGAGAGTGGACATTCTTGTCTGTTCCCGATTTTAGGTAAAAAGCATGGAGATTTTCATCATTGATTATGATGTTGACTATAGGTTTTTCAAATATACCTTTAATCAGACTGAGGGAGTTTCCATCTATTCAAGTTTACTGAAAGTTTTTATTATGAATGGGTGTTAAATTTTTCCAAATTTTTTCCTGCATCTATTGAAATAATAATGTTTTTTCTACTTTATTATCTTATTATAATGAATTATATTGATTGATTTTTAAATGTTAAACCAACCTTGCATCCCTCAAATAAACTCTGCTTGAGCATGATTTATTATCCTTTTTATATACTGTTCCATTCTATTTAGTCACTTTACTTTTATGCTTTTTAAAAACTAGTACCCTGACCTTCAGGAAAATAACTCAATTTATATTTTAGTAAAAGCTGTCTTTGTGTTCTGTATTTTGCAAGGAATAAGAGGTGAAATGTTACAATTCTATTTCAAAAAAGTTCATGGTCTCCTACATTAAGAAAAAAAAGAATAATACCTGATTGATTTTAATGTATGTCACAGGCATACAAACTTGGGGCTGGGTAGTAGAGGAAAAAGAGGAAGAGAGACAGTCATCAGAGTCACTGTTTATAGTATTGCCAGAATGTCTTTGTAGAAGAATGGAAATTTGCCTTCATCTTCGGTCACATTATATAGATTTATGTTTAAGAAAAAAAAATATTTAGACTAAAGTTGGGGACAGAAAGGGTATGTTTGTATTTAGGTTCTACCTTAAAGAATACAGAAAGACAACTAGAAAAGAAAAATGAAAATTCCTGTACTGGGAATTAGGAGTGCTAGTTTCAATCTTAGCTGATTTTGACAAATTATGTCATCATGGGCAAGTCACATTATCTCTATGTGCCTCACTTTTCTCCTTTATAAAATGTATGCTTAGGCCGATCAGTGATTCTAGACAAGGAAGGAGAGAGTATGTTCTATATTGTATATCTGAAAAAGCTCACTAGAGTGCTGTGTCTAGGTAAGACTCACTGGATTATAAAGTCTCCAAATCTTTTTCCATCACTGAAAAATTTCTGATTTTATGATTTTATGAAATCAATAAACTTGGAGACTAATGACCTTGTTTTTAACTTTTGCTTAGCCATTCTCAAGTTTTGTGAACTTGACAAGTCACTTTTCCTCTCTGGGCCTTATTATATTTATGTTTAAAAGGAAAGTATTGGAAAAATGGTCTCCTAAAGCCATTCTGGTTCCAAAAGTCTGTTGTCCTAAAGTTAAAGATAAATCTACTTATAGAATACATGTGTGTATATATCAAATATGGCAAAGCACTCGGTATACTGAGATAACTATGGCTACATATTGTATTTGAATGCATTCAGCATTTTTAAGAATCCTGGAAAATAAAATTCTAAGGCCCACACTATTAAACTTTTCTAATTTTAATGGGAAATGTAAATCCTTGGTCATATGTTGAAATGCTAGCTTTCTGTAGTTCCTGCCCCCAACTTGTAACCCAAAAATCTAAGACTTCTATATGTTTTTCTAGATTGTAGTTTTCCTTTATTATTTACAGTCTGTTGTAATAAAGCTTCAAGGATATAGGGCATTAGAGCACCACATCTTTAACTAGCTGGGGCATAATACATGATTTGAGTCCCTAATATTTTCTAACAGTGAGGTTTGTTTATTAAAAAAACCCCATGCTGTGACTGAATCAGTTTAATAGAAGCCAAGTTTGAACTTGAACATTCAAATGTATGCCCATATATCTTGGGCATATATCACATATAATGATGTGGGGTCTAGACATCTTTCTGGGTTTGTTTATGTCTGTTATGGATTCCCCTCATTATCCATGGTGTTTGAGGGAGACCCAATGGATTCAGCTAGTTTATTGCATACTTTCTATATTTAAGACTAACTCAGAGTTCCAAGTGGCACATATGTTCCAAGTTGGAAGATTATTTTCTCACTTTCCTCTTTTATGATGATGATTAAAGAAAAATAAAAATAAAAATATTTTAGGGAATGGTGACATGTTGAGAGTGGCTAACGTTAATCCTTTGGCCATGTTTCAAATACAGTTTTATAATCTTTAAGTTTATTATGCTACCCTTCCTAAAATATTTTGACAAGTTTGAGCTATAGCATCTGTTTTCTTATTTTGAAACCATATTGTGTATCATCTGTTGTTTTATTATTATTGGTTATAACTTTTAGGATTTAGTAAAGGTAGATAATATACTCAGAATGCTAGTGTTGAATAAGTGTACCTAAAGAATAGATTTTAGATATAAAGCAAACATTTTTTATCTGTAGTTCTATTGTTAATTTGAAGCAAGTAATTCATGGTCACTTAAGTAGCAGCTTTCATTGTTGCTGCTGTTGTTAAAACCTCTCCCCTTGACACTTATTTTAAAGAAACCAGTATTTATTATATTTTTTATAAGTTGAAAAGCTATTTTTTGATCAGGTGAAATAAAAGAATCAAATAACATTATAAAAATTTGCAATAAATATTGAAAGAGGATGGATTGTCATGAGAATGTATCATTATGGGTATTTTTAAAGGGGGTGATATAGCACTTGCTATAAATATTCATTTGTTCTTAAATGTAGAAATATTCAGTGCTTAGGTGATTTTATGCCCATTTATGCTAGAAGGAACAAAAGAAACTTTAAAAACTGAAAGCATAAACATAATTGAACCACCCACTTAAAAGAGAAATTGGAATAGATGTTTTCCAAGGGAGAACATGCTTTCTGTGTAAAAAGGGCTAGTGTAACAAGAAGTCATCTATTCTTGATTTCTTTAGACAGCTAGAGCTTTGTGCCTTGTCTAGTTTCTGCGTTTTAAGAGCTTGTTCTGTGTAGCAGAAATAATACAATAAATGGGTTTAACCACATTTGTCTCAGCTAGACAGTCTGCTTTGTCAGAGATTGCTGGTACAACATAAACAAATTATGTGTGTATAGTGCTTTTCAATGAAAGCCTATCTAACAGAGCTGAGATTGTATTTCAGCAGCTGTAGATTTAATCTCCTACCTGTCAGTTAAAACAGGCATTTCCTGAACCAGATAAGGACTGATTGTAGAGGAGGGAAGTAGTCACAGCTGGACAAGGACCTATTGTTATTGGCTGATAATTTCTATGTAGATTCAATTTCTTATTCTACCATGGAACCTATAATCATAGTGCAGTTGTAAAGGAGCGAATCTGACCTTTTTAATAGTTAAATTAAGAAGAGTTAAAGAGACTCAAAGCTGGGCTTTGTGTCATTCATATTTGGGAACTGTCATGTGGAGCTCAAAGGAAATGTCTATAGGTTTGATCATCATGGTTCTAGATCACTGTGGATGAGCTAATAGGGTAATGCAAATATACCTGTTCACAAATTTGTAATTACATTTGTAGGGATTCAAGTTGTAATTCAAACTAAAGTAAAAAATTAAGTATATGGATAAATACTTTACCATGTGAGTAACATGTCATGGGACATATCTCTTTATTTGCTTTTTTTGGGTGGGGGGATGGAGGTAGGGGTTTCCTTTCTTTCTCTTACCCATAGAAATTTACAAAATTAAATTGAACTTTATCAAAATTTGTGGTGTTGGTTTGGGGAAAATATCTCTCTACATTTGGTTAAGTTATTATAATATTTTTCTGAGTTCCATGTGTTCCAGGTCATGAATGGGCACACTGATAGGCTGGTCCTTGCATTTATACTAACTTGGTCAGCAACCTACATCCACAACTCTTCAATTTTCAGTTTAAATTTCAATTTTTAGTTTTTATAGCAATTTCCATTTTTCAAAGA